CTGAAACAAAGGCTCAATCCTACCATTATTAATGGGATCAAGATACCCGAAGAATATCTAAGTATGCTTAATGAAATTTACAAGGAATGCTTCAGTAATTTTAAGATTAGAATTACACAAAGAATGGTAGAAGACGTCGCGAACGAAGAAAGACAGCTCAACATAATTGAAAAAGAACACAAAAGAGCACATAGGAGTTCTGTAGAAAACCGGGAACAGATAATGGAAAAATATTACTTCCCTTCCATGAACAGACTCATCAGGGAGTATATCAAGGTGTGTGAAATATGCAACTGTAATAAATATGATAGACATCCACTCCGCCCACAGCTTCAACCCACGCCCATTCCTGAGTATCCTACGCAGATACTTCATTTAGACATAATGGAAATACAGGGTGAAAAGTATATCACTTGTATAGACAAATTCTCCAAGTTTGTCAAATTCTTTGGAATTAAAGATAAATCAGCATTACATCTCAGAGACAAACTCACAAAGGTACTTCATTATTTCACCGTACCGGAAATAATTGTCACAGATAATGAAGGCGGAATAATCAGTCCTATTGTGTCAACTTACATCAAGGCACTAGGAATAAAAATGTACAATACTCCATCTCAGAAGAGTGAAGTAAATGGAACTATTGAAAGAGCTCACTCAACGATTTTGGAAATCATTAGGTGTCTACGAAAAGAGCATCCCCAACTGTCACATAAGGAGCTAATTACAATTGCAGTAGATCGATACAACAACACATACCACTCAGTAACAAAGAAGAAACCTGCCGATATATTCTACGGAAGAACTTCTCGCGTCAACTATCAGAATTTACTCAATATCAGAGAAAAAATACATAGCGATCTTACGCAGCAAATCCAACGCTCGCAGCAAATAAAGCTCAATCGGGAGAACAAAAAAAGAAATGAACCCACTGACTACAAAAAGGGTCAAATGATCTATGTAAAAGATAAACAGATAAAATCTAAGCATAAACCTATATACAGAAAAGAAACAGTGTTGAAAAACAACAAAGCTACCATCACTACAATATCGGGAAAACGGATTCATAAATCCCACATCAAAAACACCCCTAACTAAAACCTTTTTTATTTCAGATGTTATATGACGGTAGCCTCACTCAAAATTTTCGAGGTTACAGACACAATAGCCACACTTAAATTGGGAGAAGCCCGCATACTAAATGGAAGTTTTAACCTGATCCACACAATAAACCTCAAAAATTACGATGAAATATTGCGAGAATTAATACCATTGGTGAATAACGTCAATGATTCTAGCACCATCAAGCCACAGCTGCAATATCAAGTTGACCAGATAATGGAATCTATAGCCAGAATTCGAGGAACTAAAAGATCTCGGAGATCCATCAATTGGATTGGAACAGCCTGGAAATGGTTAGCAGGCACACCAGACGCCACTGACTGGGAAACTATACTCCAAAACCAGAATCAGCTGACCTATAATAGCAACCAACAGTACAGAATAAACAGTGAAATAATGTCAGTGACAAACAAACTCATGGAACGGTACAATAAGATACTAAAACAACTGGGCAATACCAATGATCATAGATTCGAACAGATGGTATTTAACAAGCTTGTAATCATCAAGGAAGCTATTAACGAAATCATCCTTGCAATTGAACTCGCGAAGCAAAAAATCGTCAATACAAACTTGCTGAGTAGTGATGAAATTCTTAACATACTGAAGGAGGTTAACACTCTACCATATTCTAACGACATTGAAGCAATCGAATACGCTGAACCAAAAGTAATAACTAATGGTCTTACAATCCTTTACGTAATTTCACTACCAAAAGCAGACGAGCGTTTATACGACCATATTTTGATCAAACCAACTATTAGAAACGAGAGTCAGGTATATCTAGAGTACGAAGAACTGCTCGTTAACGAGGAAATCTATGGCGTAATAGGCAAGTGTGAAAACTTTAATGATGTTACCATTTGCAAGAAAAACAGACTGACCGCGTTGCAACCCGGACATTGCGTAACGCAACTCATCAGGGGATTTAATGCAAGATGTGATTTTCAATACAATGGGAAAGAAATAATAGAGGAAATTACCAAGAATATGATCTTCTTATCCAATTTCCATGGAGATGTTATAACCACCTCTACTGCAAGGAAGCTCTCAGGAAGTTTTCTCCTACAATATTCCAACGATACTATACGCATTAAGGGACTTACGTTCACCAACAACGAAGTAAGATCTCCAGAGGTACTACCAGCGTTCCTTCAAACAAATCTAACCCAGGCAAATAGGAAACTCAATTTGGAGTATCTTCATGATTTACAACAGAACAATATAAGAAAGGTGCAGCAACTAGCCACGTCAAACAATATCACAACATCAATCAACTCAGTTATCACCATTGCGGTAGTTCTAATTATAATAGCGATAATAATTTTCAAGAAGAAAAAGACACAAACAGAAAGGACATTCGTAGCAGAGATCACCCCTAAGGACTTAGCTACTAATCTTACCAAACTCAACGTTGATCTACGGGACGTAGATCTTTAGAGGGGGAAGAGTTAACGAGGGATCAAATAGCGGGCATGTTAAAACAAGTTCAAACATGTTTCATCAGACATATTTCATCGTGAGAATTCTTCTACGCTGAATATTAATATTAAAACATGTTCAAATACGTTTCCAGCAAACATCATATTTCAGCATGAGAATTTCTTAACGCAAAAATATGTTCCCACAAAAAGTGCTGACGACATGTCTACGCTGTACTGTGAGAAATTTTTAGTTAGGAAAATAACATAAAATTAAATTTGCTAAATAAGCAAATTTTATACTATAAATTAGGTAACATTTAGATTAAGAATTTAGTCTTAGATAGTCTTAGACATTAATTGAACTAAGCATTAAAGTCTTAGAATAGTCTTAAAATTTAATTGTAAAGTTATATTAAATTTTAACCTAGTGTTGTGAAATAAAACGTATTGTAAAAGTAATCTTAAAGAAATAAAACGTATTATAAAAGTAATTTTAAAATCGAAATAAAATTATTTTTTTTTTTTAAACGAATTTTGACACAAAATTCGTAACTTGTATAATAATAGTGTTAATATGAATTAAGTACAAATGTACTTAAAACATGCAAAATATCTGTTATATTTTTATAGATATATAAAAATAATATATAAATATGTGTATATGAATATGTAAATTTCATTTATTGCGTTTTAAATGTGTTATATTTATATAAGAGTTATAGTAAAAATTAAAACATAAATACAATTAATATTTTAGAATAAAAGTATAAACAAAAAACATTTATTTTTTTTTTAATTAATATTTTATTTAAATACAATCAGTGATAACAGTAATAATAAATTCTCAAAAAAATTATTTTTGATATTTTTGTTTTGTTTTGTAAACGTTATGATAAAAATATTTTTTTTTTTTGATTACTTATTTTGTTTTTGTATATAATTTGTTTGTTTGTTTCGGTTTTTTTTTGTGAAAGTATTGGTGATAGCTTACTTTCAATTTAATTGTTGGTTTTTTGTTTTATGACAATTTTTTGCTGTATGTTTTCAGTGTTATTTTTATTTTATTAATGCTTTCATTTTTTTTTTGGTTTAAGAAAAGATGTTGTTCTCTTAAATTTTCTGGTTAAAATTTTTTTTTGTTTAATTTTTGTTTTTCTTGTATCTTGTGTTTTCAAACAAATTAAATATTTTTATTTGTATATATATATATGTATATATATTTGTATATGTATGTATATATATATAATTTTTTTTTTAAATATTTTCACATTTTTAATTTATTTTTTTTTTTTTAAATTTGACTTAAGTTTTTTGTTTTGTTTCTTACACAGTTATAAATATACATAATATGTAGAATAATAAAATATTTAATGAAACACATACACAATTCACATTTATTGTTTTATTTGAAATGTTTTTGTATTTTTAGATTACAATATATTTTTTTTTTGTTTTTCTTCAAATTTAATTTGACTTATATTTGATAACGTTTATTATATAATTATAATTTTTGTTTTTTTATTTAAAGTTGACATTTATTTATTAAATTTATTTACATTTATATAAAATTCATGTTTTATTGTTAATAAATACATTTATACATATATATACATATATTTTGTGTATAATTAATTTTATTGTTATTATATTTTAAATTTGAATCGTTACATTGATGAAATTACTTTTTAATGTAAATATGTAAGGTGTTTTATTATTTTTATATTATTAATAAATTGTTGATTTTTGTCTTAAACAAAATATACATAAATATTTATTGATGTATATATATGTATATAATATGTATATAATATAGATTTCAAAAAAAAAATTGTTTTTAAATAGTAAGTCTTTCTAAAAATTTACTTTATTTTTTTTGTTTTTTTTTTCTTGGTTTTTTATTACATAATAAACATTTATTTAATTTTTCATTTTAGTTTTTCTCTTACGATTTTTTTTACATATAAATTGGTTCTAAATTTTTTTAATTTTTAATATTTTTTTTCATATATAAGTAAGTAGTAAATGATACGACATAGTAAATCACGTTGAAACTGTATATGTAGATTTTTTTTTAATTAAAATTTTTATTTTTTCAATTTATTTTAAATAATTTATTCTTAATTTTAAATTCTTATTTTTATTTTTATATTTTCTTCTAATTTATTAAATTTGAATAATCATTGACATGAAATATTTTTTATTTAATTTTTATTTTATTTTTTAGTTTTCTTATCCTCGCACTTTTTTGTTTTGTTTCTTTTGTTTTTAAATAACATTTATAAAGTTTTGTATATAATTTAATAAAATCATTTTTTTTTTGTATTTTTTATTTCCTAAATATAATTAACTCGGTTTTATAATTTTCATTTTAATTTTTTTTGTTTTCTATATATTTTTAATATGAAAATTTTTCTTTAATAAACGGAAGCGTTTAGAGAGTTGATAGTTTTGAAAATAAAAAATTTTTTACATATATTTTTTTGTATAGTTTTTAGTATACACATAACATACAATTTTTTATTATTAATTGTGATACAATTATTTATAATATATGTATATATATAAGTATATAAGAAAAAAAATTCTGTATTTATAATTTAAAATATTTATTTTTTGTACTCGTATTTGTGATTTATTCATACTACAAGTACATAGTTTAAAATTTTTAATAATATTTTAATAAAATCATTTAAATTCTGTTAAAAATCAATATTTAGTAACAAATTATTTATTTTATATATATACGTACATAATAATTAAAATATATAATTAAAAAAATAAATACGATGACATAAGAATTTTAAAATTTTACATTAACAATTTAATAATTATTAAAATAAACAAAAAAAAAAATCACAAAAAATATTAGAATTTAACAAATTAAATTTTTTTTTTTTTTAAATTAAAACGATATTTTTTTTTGTTTAAATTTCATAATTACGAAATTTATTAGCGACTTCGGAGTTATCGGTACCCCATTCACCTTTACGACTGCCATAATATAATGCAGCTCCACCTTCTGATGCACGACGATGTGCTGGATTTGGTTGACCAGCTGTTAGACCACTAGCAGCACCACTTTGTTCTGGTAACATACGTCCTTGGGTTTTTGGCGTCGCCCAATGCATTGACTGTCAAAAAAAGTTGATTTTAATTGAAATAACTGCTCTTAAAAAACTATTTTATTAGCAAAATCACTTTCATTTATATACCATATTATATTTACAAATATTGCATACATTTGGGATGAGAAAAAAAAATTTTTTATGAAAATAATTTTTTAATTCTAAAAGTTATTCATACATTATGTAGAATTTTACCTGTCTATCGTTAAGGGTGTTTAGGTTTTGTAAACATTTTCACGGACGGACGGGCAAAGTGCAAGCTATAAGAACTCTTTTTCAAATTTTTTAAAAAAAAAGCTAAAAAATGCAAACCATTAAATAATATTGGATTTTGTTATTCTCAGAATGAATGTACTTATTGGATCTAATATCGAAAATTGCAAGCAACTCAATTCTTTCGAAATTACATGTGCCAAAGTATATTTTGAAAAAAAGAACTACTTTCATAAAAGTACCAAAAATGTACACTGAAAGTAGAAAATTTCTTCATACAATTGCGGAACAGATGGACGACGTAATCCAGGGAAAGAGTTAAAGGCAGAAAATTAAAAATTTTTCTCCTCGAACTGAACTCGAACCAGTGATCAATTGCTTTCTGGGCGGACGTTCTGCCAACTGAGCTACAGAGGTGTGAAGAAATTGCCGACGAATTGTTCTTCATATTGAAGAAGAATTGAGTTAATATTTTTAGTGTGGTAGGCACAACACTTATTAATAAAACAATTACACGTTGTATTAGTAATTCAGTAATGTGCATTGAAAGCCTTTTGGAAAACCCAAATGGAAATTTTAACAATTCGACCAATTGTGGATGTAATTAAAAATGCAGCAGTTATTTTAAAAAAAGTTATTAAAACATTCTCTAAAGGATATTTTAGAGCAACAGAAATTTAAAAAATTTAAAAAACCACACAAAAGCATTTTCATTTGCACAGCTTTTTTCCCTATATACGAGTACATAAAAAATTATTTTTATTTTTAAATTGGAAAATCATTGCATTTTTAATTGTCCTTTTTTTTTAATAGAATTTTTATCCCTGAATAATTACACAAACATATACGTAGAGTAAATTTATTCATACGCTCTTGTTGAAATACAATTTTTTTAATTGAAAATCAACTCTAATATTAAAGTGTGACAAAATCAATTAAAGGATTTCATTTACAATTTTTAATTTAGTACTTTTATTTTTTCAAATCGAGAATATTTTTTATTCATTATAAAATCAATGGTTTTTAGCTGATAACTCTTTACTGTCCTAAATACAATTTACATATACCTACATGCCTACATTTTATTAAAAATATCCTTTTAACAAAAATTTATATTAATTTTTTGTCCAAAAGATCAAATAATTGATTCATCTTTTTTATATAGGTACGTCATATTGTGGTAAATAAGAATCAATTCTAGTGAATTCAATTTTAATTAACAACAAAAAAAAAATGAAAATCTATTCTGTCAACTCAAATGTTTCAAATATTGTTTGGGCTTTATTATGATGATTGAGTTGATAAGGAATGATTAAATGTACATATACATACGTACATGCATATAATATGTATGAATGTATAATACATTATTGACAAGAGTTTATTGAAATTTAAATCAGCAACTTGTTATATAACTTCTAATAAAAATGAAGACATTTTTTGCCATAATTTAATTTTGTTAGAATTTTGTTGGAATTAGGTTAGAACTGATTGTCATTTTTGTATAAACATTATCAAAATTGTTTCATTGACATGTTGAAAAGCATTTACACGAAATGTTAATGCATATGTGTATGAATTGGTGTGGTGCCTTCTACTTAACATCAACAATCAATAACAGGAATTTATTTACGCACATAAAAATCATTGTGTGCTATCAAACAAAATTACAAATACGCACAATTTGGAAGCTCTACTTGTAGATTTTGAAAAATGGTTCTAAAATTTAAAAATAAATGTTTTCTTTTAAACATTAATTTCTCATGGCTTTAAAAAAATTCAACATTTTTCATTCAATATTCAATTTGTTTATGTTTGAATCGAACATGTTCCATATATTTAAAGTTCGATTTTTGGAATACTGTGAAATAAATAGCACTTGTTACGTCAGATTTTCAATTCTAACTGTAAATTGTATTTATAAATTTGTTGATTTTTGTTTTTACTAAGCAACAATAATTCGAATTTAAAATCCACATTTTCTCTACAAACCAAACATATCGAACATGTACGCAATGCTATGTTTGAATTGTATTTAGTTTTCTTTAGTTGGATTCATTATATGCTTGCATTAATAAATTTCTGAGAATTCAATTGAATTGTAATTGCATTGTTGGCAAACCCGAGCTAAAATAATGAAGTAATTTACAAAAATAAAAAATTGAATAAATTTTTTTATATTTTATGAAATCAACAATTTTAATAATGCTCTAGCGAACTTTGTACATACAAATGTGTGTATCTATGTACAAAAATACATGTAACATTTATTTAAATACAACATGTGTTAATTTTTGTAAATATTATACAATATTTGTTTACTTGTAGTCGAATATTCGGCATTTATATAATTTAATTTAAAATGGAATTTAATTTTTTAATATTTTCTGTACATAAAAATATTTTGCACTTTCAGCATGGTGACATAACATTCTTGTTATCATGTTTAACAACACGTGCTTAACACTCACAAGTCAGATGTTAATATAATTAAAATAGTGAGTGATAGAAGAAAAGGAACACGGTTTGTAAAAAGCATGGGTATTTGTGTAGTTCCATTTTCTGTTCCTTTAACAGGGTTGTTCAAAAATTTCTGAAGAAAAAACAAGAACATTTTTTATTAATTATATGGTTTGAAACAAATTGTATAACCAGAACGTTACCCTCTGTAGACAACGCAAATAATGACATCACTCTTAAATCTTAAAATATCTATATATGTACATGTATGCATATGTGTACATTTGATATTTAACTTTATTTACAAACACTTAAATGTTGCAAATGAATTTATTTAACATCCTTTAACGTTATTAAAAACAATTTTAGAAGTGTAAACGTTTTATTTTTAATATCACAATGCGAAAGTATTATTAAAATAATGGCAATGATAAACAGCTACAAGCAAAATGTGGCTTATACTCTACATACATAATATATAAATAATTACACTTACACGCACATACTGTATGAACTATAATTAAGTTTGGTATAGGAGGTTTCTGCATAGTTTTAAAGGAATGTTGTTTTTGTAAATCTACATTTTTAGTTTATAAAAACAATTCCATTTCACGCGGCAATAGGTAAAATTGTTTTGAAGAATCTTGAACTAAAAATTTCTTCTCAATTTTCTTCCTTAAGTGCGCAATTTTTACCTACAACCACCTACATATAAAGAATTAATAAAACTGATGTTTTCGGAATTTTTTATACCGCCCGCATGGGATACAGGAAAGAAGGTTATATGACGGCACCAAGTTTTACATGTCGATATTTCAAAAGGAATGCTTTTCACTGTAATAGGGAAATGTGATTTTGGAGATTTACGACAGAACTTACTTTAGACTTTTCACGAATCAACTTTTGGGATATATCTATAAAGTCTCAGGAATTCGACCTTGACATGATTTTCTTAAAGTTTTATATAATTATAAGCTTTGTCTTACTAACATCTTTGTCGAATTCACATTTTTGGCTGTATGTAAAAAAGTAATCAACTTATTTCCAAAATTTAATATTTAAGCTCTGTTTGACAAGATTAACGTCCTTAAACACGTAAATGCCCTCTTACATCTGTATTGAATTTCAACTTTATTCGATCTCTGAAATTTGTAGCTTGTTCATGCAGAGTCACAAAATGAATTTATGGAACTCAGAAATTAATTTATTTAAATAAATTTTTTCGTAAATTTTATTTAAACATTGTTGAAAGTTTTAACGGATGTTAAAAAATAGATGGGAGATAAAAAACTGTCTGGAGATCTTTGCATTAATAAATGAATGAAAAATGAAATAAAATTTAAATGACATTTACATATTTTCATGTCATTACAGAAATTTATTTTTGATTTTCCTTTTGCCGTTTTTATCATTGAAACTAAAAAAAGAACGAAACTCTTTATATTATAATGTCCTTTTTAATGTCCTTTTAGAAATATTTAAATCAATGCCTTTAACAAAATCGTATGAATATTGTATACATAAATTTTTTTTAAGTATAAGCAACAAACGTATGTAAGTCTGTATGTATATGTGTTTATTGAAAACTTTCCAACATGTTCTATGAACATGAACACATTCATTATTACATAAAGTATAAAGTATGTTTGTTTCCTTTTTTTTTACACATGCCCTAAATGTTCATTTCAACTCACCTGATGTACGTGCTCCTTCATTCCAAGCCAATTTTTATAGCTGATAGAAATTCCACTGTGACGCCATTTATCATAGTTGGCACGTCGCTCTGGATCACAAAGAGTTTCTTTTGCTTCCTGTAAATTAATTAAAAAGAGAGAAAAAAAACGAGAAAATGTTTGTAATTAGTTAGCATAATTTTATAACGGTATAATGTGAAAAAAAAATTCTTATTTTTTATTCAATTTTACTTTTTTTTTACTTTCTATTTAAATTTTTATTATTTTTATAATACACACCTGTGTATCTTTAAGGTGAATATGTTAAAGAGAAGATGTTACAGGTGGGCGGAGTTTTAAATATTTAATTTTACATACATTATTTAGGTGCAAATTATTATACATGTAAGAACACAAATATATCTACATAGATATTTTTATTAGGATTGCCATATTACTGCACAAAAAGTAGTCGCTTCTTCGTAATTAATTATGTATTTTAGTTCTAACAGAGTGTAGATCGTAAAAGACGACTAAAGAATCGAAAAATACATTTGAATGCATCTTACTTTTGAAAGTGAACACTTTTTTGTGCTTTTGAAGCTTAAATAACCCGAACTTAATAGAGCGCATTTGAAGAATTTTAGAATTTACATTGCATTTTAAAGAAAAAACAAAACTTAGCACAGGGTCTAATATGTCATCTGCGATACATTTCTCTTCTACTCTAAAAAATAAGGCATGTGTCAGTATATTAATCGGGAGATAGGCGTTAAAAATTTTGACAAGTTTTTCTTTTTCGATGATTCCTGGGGTTTTCGGGGAGAAATTTTGATGCTGTACTAGCAATGCACTAGCAATGAAGTGCCAATAAGTTGCTGGTGCAACATTGCCACCTGTTTTTTGTTTTTGATATTACCATTACCAAAAAACATTTTACAGAGCGTCGTGCAAGAGGCCACAATAACTTCGACTAATCTTTCTTTTTTGTGAAACTGTCAAATCACTTAAAATGAGATCATTTGTTAATCCTGATATGCTCATATGTGCGTTCTGCTAGGATATTTATATATTCATTCTACCTCACGTTATTAAAATGGAAAATTTATGCATATGGTATTTGTTACGACTTACGACATTGGTAAGAGTAACATGTAAACCGGAAAATTGTTTTCTTTCTCATTTTCCTTTTGTTTCGTATAATGTTAACGCATATGGCGAAGAGAATTAAATGTTCTGAACTAATCCTTCATATGGGTTATTCGTTCTTTTTTGTATTTATTCACAAAAGTTAAGAAGCTTTACTATAGAATCGTTTTAATAGAAAAAATATAATAGATTCCTTTTATAGAAAAAAAATACCCATGCTTTACCCAGTTTTATAAAAAATCGTCCTCATTGAATTTGGAAATTTGTTTAAATCAGTTGGTGCCTGTCATTGTTGTATTCAATTCAAATTAAATGGACTAATATGTTTTAATGTAGATTAAAAGTAAATCAAAATTCAGAAAGGAAATAGAACGAATAACGAGGGATAAACCGCACGGAGAAGGAGTCACAAATTAATAAAGTCTTTGTGTGTGTATATACTATAACAAAGTATAGGTATAAGTGTATAATTAATCAATATGTTTTAAACCTAGTTGAATGATTTAGTTATTTTGATTGAAGGACTCCAGAATTTTTATTAATTTTAGTTTTGTTTCTACTTTAATATTATTGTAAGCGAATCATTTGGTATTTGTGAAACTCTTCATAAAGTAACTACAAAAGAATTTCAGATTTTTTTTGTTTCGTGTACATCTTTCAATTGATGTAGGTTTGAACTCTGGACATTCTGGTAAAATGATAAAATATAAGAAAATTATATTTGAAACCCAAATATAGAATATTCGAAAATATTGAATAGAAAATAATAAAATCAGAAAGTGTGGGTTTTGTAAAAAATGCAATTCAAACTTACGGAAATTGCCCTTTTCAGATACGTTTCTCTTAAATTCTTTTTTGCTGAAAGAGGCAAATATGTCATATGGTTGTGCGAGCGTATGTATTTTTGTGAGTAAAAAATTTTTATGAAGTATTTTTGCTTTGTACCCTACTTAAATAATCTGACAACTATTAATGTATACGTATTCGAAATTAAATGTATAAACTTTCTGTTAAGGTTGCTTTGAAAATCTCATAAAAATGTTAAAATGTTTCAAGTTTTTTTTTTAAATTTCAAAAAGTTTTCCAGAATAAGCTAATTTGGAGTACCTTTGCTATTATAAAACTAAATTAAATGAAAATATTTTTTAAATAATTTAAAAATTTTAAATTTAAACTAAATTTAAGTGAGTGGTTTGAACCATTTGGAAATTTGTTCCTGAAAAAATTTGAATATTTTTTTTAAGGAGATTTAATTGTAGTTTTGGAAAAGGTTAATGGGTTTTTACTAATAAACTTGAATTGTGAAGAGTTACACAACCTATTCATTGTAAATATGTACATACGAGTCTTAGAAGAATTTCGGGTTCAATAAAATTAATTCAAAATTTTAGCGTTGGAACTGAGATTCTTTACATGTTTCCGCTGTTATTGCTTGGAAGCATATATAAAATCTGCCATTTGATATACAATAAAATTATAAAAATAATCGTATCGGAATTTAAATCGTTTTTGTATTTGATAAAATTTGCAATTTCTTTAAGATTCATTGAGGCAAAAATTCTTCAATTTTTCTATTGCATTATGTCTCTGGTATATATGTAGTGGGGACTTGTAGGTGTCTTTAACTTGATAGGTAAAATAGGTCCATAATAAATTTCTTAAATATTCTCTAAAGAATATATACATACATATTATAGCATATGAATGGAATAAGAAAAAAAAACAAAAATTAAATCCGAAGGGAAATCCTTTGAATTTTCAAAGGATCACAAAATTTATGTATTTTTATATAAATGAAGCAACAAAACAAGCGAACAACATCCCCACATGTACGTATAGTCTTATATGCAAGATAGTTAATGAAAAAAGTTACCCTATATTATGCTTGTAGGAGACTCAATACATGAAACAACCTACATAATGCAAATAAGTACAAAAGAACAATATGTGTTTTTCTACATTCTTAAAATTTTTATACACATATACATAAATTCCATAAAATTAACAAAGTGTAACTTGATAACGAAAATGTCCTTTAAACAATGTAGTCTATTATAAAAAGGATAATGTGAAAATTATTCTTAGTATAAAATTTTCTATCTAATAAAGTTTAATTTTGTATCAAAATTTTCAAATATGTAATCAAATTCTTGGGAATGGTAAATTAATTTCATTCATTTTGTAAGCTGGTTAACAACTGAAACAAATGAAAATTGAAAAAAATCATTAACAATTCATTTTTTAGGCCAATTTTGTACATTATAGTACGAAAAATGCATGAGAACAATTTGACGTTTCTGTGTAGTTATGTTTAAGGTAATTTTGTCAATTAATGCTATACAAAACGAATTATATCCAATTTTAGAATCTGATAGATCTACCTCACGATTAGCGTTTGGCAGAATTAAAAGCACATTAAATAACCGGAAATCTCGTGAAATAGTAACAAAGTCTAAGAAACCAGGTTTGAAATACGATATGAGAAGAAGTTATTTTGAATAAATGGACAATGAGTTCACAAACCCTTCAAAAATGGTTTAAATTTTCATTCAATATGAAATCCTCTCTCATCCTCTTACGTTACACAAAGTCATCACTATGTTAGTAATATTTATATGTGGAAGGGACATCGTTTCATTCCAGAATGTAGGTAAATTTATACTACGAATTATTTAATCCCCATTTTAAAATTTTCTCGGTAACAAATGTAAACTATACTTGTGATACTTTAATTTCTTTACGACGTACTAAGCCATAATGCCGAGACTTACTTTTATTTTAAATAATCTACGTCTTTCATATTATATTCTACATTAAATTCACTTTATTTTATTATCCTTAACATTTCGAAAGACTAGTCACAATCTCATTTATTTAATTTTTCCTTTTTTACCGACCGTATTGTGTAAACAATAGGTAGGTTATGTGATGGCAACAAATTTTGTATATCGAGTTTTCGATGGGAACGCACTTCTCCATAGTAGGGAAGTGTAAATAAACTATTTTTAGCAACCTGTCGGTCCGTCTGTCTGTCGGTCTGTCGGTCTGTCGGTCTGTCGGTCTGTGTGTGCACGCGTGTATCTCAAGTTCGGCTGAACCGATTTTAATGAAATTTTATATGTAAGTTTATTTCCACCATGGCACGGATTGATCAACTTTTCGTATATAGCAGGCCTCGGGAACTGCACTTTTTAGCGGGCCTGTTTTACATTTTTGAACATTTTGAAGAAAATATTCAGCCGATTTACTTGAAATTTTATATATAAGCTCAGCTCGACCGTCCGTGAAAATTCCTAGCTTTTGGAACAAATCAGGCATCAGCAACTGGACGTTTACTACGGACCAAATATACATTTTTGTGTATATAAAGAGAAATAGTCAACCTATTTCATTGAAATTTAATGTATGAATTCCACATATTAAAGCAATGAACATATAAATTTTTTGGAAAGATCAGGGCTCAAAAAGTGATTTGCGGGCCGATTTTACATTTTTCACCATTTTGAAGAAAATATTAAACCGATTTACTTGAAATTTCATATATGAGCTTTGCTTGACTGTCCGCAAAAATTCCTAACTTTTGGAACAAATCAGGCATCAGCAACTGGACGTTTACTACGGGCCAAATATACATTTTTGTGTATATAAAGAGAAATAATCAACCGATTTCATTGAAATTTAATATTTGAATTCTTCGTATTAAAACAATGAACATGTAAATTTTTTGGAAAGATTAGGGCTCGAAAACTAATCTGCGGGCCGATTTTACATTTTTCACAATATCTACGGAACGAATTGATGGAATTTTTTGAAATTTGATATTTGAGTTCTGGTTGTTACTGAAACTAACTGGCGAGCATTTTAGGGAATTCCGGTAGCACAAAGCGAAACTCTACTAAGAGCCAAATTTACATTTTTCTAGGTATGTTAACTATAAGCTTACTAATATCCTAAAAATTGGAAAGAAGTATTTAACAGACATTTTTATAATATTCTGTAACACTTTCATTTAACTAGACAATACACAATGCGGTCGGTTATGTGCTGACCACTTCAGATTTTTTTATATTTTGATAGTGACACACATACACTCATAGTAAGGATTCCACAAAGAAATATTTTTCTATTTTTTTCTTCACACATGAATTGGTAGGCTCATCAGATTCTACATTTACATAGATATACTTTTTCTATAGCTTATAAGAGCAAGAATTTAAATAAATACTTTTATATACCTATGTATGTATGTATATGTAGAACAGAAATAGAGAAGATAAAAACTGCTAATAAGAATTTTTAAGAATATGTGAAAATATTTTTCTAAATCATGAACATGTTAATTTACTCAAATTCTCATAAAAATAAATAAAATTAGAAAATCATTTGAAAATGAGGACCTTAATTATTTTCGGAATTTCCAGAAGGATTCATTTGAGTTCACAATAAACACTTTTTATAATAAAAATGGTGAAAGTGTAAATGAAAATATTGATAAAGAAAAAAGGCTTCAGTTAAGTATTTTTCAATAATATACCTGTTCTATAGCTACCTGTTTAACCTGTGCCTATATGTAATTTTAATCAAATGTCAAATTATGTAAATCTTGAATACGGATAAGAAAAAAAAATATTAATTTCTCGGAAATAATTTAAGAAATTTTTAGGATGGAAGATGCTTTTCTTTTTCAAGAACGTGTCATTTTCAAATTTTTTTTTATATTTAATTTTAGTGTCACAATGAATTTATATGAATGTATGTATGTATATGTATGAAACATTTTGAAATTTTGTCATAATAATTGAATTATACGAAAACATTAATAACGTTTTCAATTTCAATGCTTATAAAGGCTAAAGAATATCAAAAATTCTGGCAGAACATTGAATGATATAAATGAAGAGAAATATTGAAATTTGTGCGGTTGATTCATTATTGGCACGTTATTATTTTACAGAGGAGCTGAAACAAAACCTGAATCTCATGTAACCTGAATGATCTTGAGTTATTAAATTTATTAAAAATATGCAATTGTTACACATTTCAGTGACAGGAAACGCACAGTTATTATGCGAACACGAAATCCTTTAAAACTTAAATAGTTTATCAGAATAGAAAATTAATCTAGTAAGAGCTAATTATAATTTATGCATAGGTTTTGAACATTCCTTAATATCATGTATATGAAAATTTTTAGGGCAATTACAGGGCATTTTTCATTCTTAAGTCACAGTTGTCACACCAAACTACCAAGAAAGTAGAAATTAATGATATAATTTAGTTGTAGACTTGATTACAATTTTAAAAGATTATTTCTTAAAATGGAATATTAGTGCATCCTTTTCAAATTCCATATATATACTTATATATAAACCTATATGTGATTATTAGTGAAGAGCAAAAAAAATCTTTGAAACAAAACTCGTGTTTCCTCTCATGATTTGTTCTTTAATTAAAAACAGAAAAGAAAAAACATAAAAATTTTAGTTGTACCTTTTGTTTTAAGAACAAATTTTATTTGAAAGTTAATACAGGCCCTCATTAAAATTTTCCTCATTAAAAAAGTTTGAAAAGTTTTCTTTTTTTTTTGTTGAAATGGAAATTGATTTTTCTCTTTTTTTTCATAACTTACGGTTATGACGAGACTTTTATTTTTAAATAATTTTTGCATTTACAATTTTTCATTTTTTTTAAAAAAAAAAAAAAGGTAAAATGTTCACATAAGAAAATTTTGTAAGGATAGTAAAAGTGAATTATTAAAAAAATGGAAAACTGAAGGAAGGAGGCAGGTAGTGGCAAACAACCGAACATGCTCGAGTACAAATTTCTTTCGTTTTCATATTTGTTCTTTTGTTTTTGTTTATTTGAATTATCAAAAATGAGAAATCATCATGTTATTTATGAAATGTTTTTCTCAAATTAATAAAACGTAAATGTAAATATAAGGGCGGTAAATGTCTTCTTACACACACACACATACATGGAATAGAGGAAAAATTGAAATAAATGAAGAAAATAAATTTAATTGAGTTGTTCTCAATATAAGGAATGAATGATTTAATTAAAACAAGAATTCAATTTAACAATAATAATTAAATTAAGTACAATTTACGGATAACTTGAGTGTAGGTTTTTGATGTATTTGGTGCTGGTTGCATGTTGGGAATGAAAATGCATGTACTTTTATTCGTAAATGAAATTCTTCTATCAAAAATTTTTAATAAATTTTCATTTTATATTAAATTTTCATATAATAAAGTGGACACGCACTTTTGACAGTACTTATTCCAAAAGACAATTAATAGCGAAGTTTGACAGGTTATTTTGCGATAAGACAAAAAGTATGTATACGTACAAACAAAAAAGAGCTGAAAAGCGCCGTGGTAACTAAAAAATTTGGCAGCTTTAGCAGTCGCTGTCGCATTATGTACATCGTAAAATATTTTGATTTACTAAACACTACTCTAGTGACACTACTCTAATAGCCGTTTAAGTTTTGTGAAAAATTTTTCAAAGTTTTAATTTACGATTGGTTGCTTTTAGCGGCTATAAAATATAAATGTCTATAAATTCGTATTTCTGGCCCAACTCTGGTTATAATTCAAAAATGAAAATATATTTCAATGAAATTATTAAGTAAATGTTGAAATAACGCTAGAATATTCGCTGTTCATTTTCTCTTTATGAAAACAACAATTGCAACCAACAAAATTTTAATTACGCAAAAGTAATACACAAAAATTTTTAGTACTAATTGTTATAAATATCGCGCATCCTAAATATATGCAAAATATTTTCAATTAACTTACTTTGAGTTTTTGGAATTTCTCTTCAGCTTCTTTATCGCCACTGTTCTTATCCGGATGATATTGCAAAGCCAATACTTTATATTCGGCCTGAATTTGTTCAATCTAAAACAAAAAATAATATTAAATTAATTTTTTTGCTGTTAATAAGTAAATGTGTAATTATATTCAAAACATGTAATTCAAACATTATTTTCATTTATACTGACAATTTATTTTAATATTTAGTTCACGTTTTCATTTAATTAATAAGAAATTCTTGATTCAATGATTTAAAATAAAGTTTGCGGGTTGAATTGTCTATTAAATTGTTATTCATTATTATTACTCCAAAATGGTTCATATATAATTTATAAATAAGGATCTTTTAAGAAACCTCATTCTACTCGTATACATTAAAATTACTTTCAATATGAAAGATGAAAGAAAATGGAAATTTTATTCAGCTGATTAAGTTTAATATTCTCATCTCCCCGTTTTTTTTATAATTCATAAAATTTCGAATGGAAATATTTTCAAAGAAATTCAATTGAAGGTCAATGCGTTTCTAAGATCTTATTAGAATTTATACTTACTTATACATTATTGAATAAAATTTCGATGTAAAATTTTAGAAAATGGACACAAAAGTAGATTTTATTTAAAAGTTTTGAATGCGTAATTTATTTGAATTGAGAAAAATAAAGAAATAAATTCCAGTTAATTTGTTTCATAGGTAATTGGTATACGTTGATTTTTCCATTGACTCTATAAATATTAAACCTTTGAGCAGAACAATTTTATAGAAGACGGATAAGATGGATGTGAATATATTTTTCACAATAACTCGTAATTTTCAATTTTTGGAACACAATAAATTTTACTTGAATGCAATTTTACACATCGAAGTCAGAATAACTTGCTTCAGTGGTTCAAGCTTGGATATCTTAGAACTCAAAAAGTGAAAACTGCAATATTGTTTATTAAATTTGTCCGAAGAATATGAGCATTAACAAAAAGCAACAAAAAAATTCTAAAATTCAACAAGGACTTTCTATTACTGTTCATTTCCGATTGTTCAATGCCACATACACTCATTTCAGTAAAGATTTTAAAAATAAAAAAATTTACAATATTTTGCCAGTATTTCCCAATTCATCCAAATATTAAAAATATTTTTTGAAAAAAAAAAAAAAATGTCAATTAAAAATGGTTTGATTAAAAATTCAAAGAAAAAAAAAATAAAATAAAAAATTTCCGATTGATAATTATAAAAAAAAATTTCAATTTCGTCCTGTTAAATTTTTTACTTTCAATAGTTTCAATTTTCTGCAGGCTATTTTGAGAGGAAAATTGAATTTTTTTTTTGTGTGTTTTAATAAAATTTTATAAAATGTTAATTTCAATGTAGAAATAGTTTAAAAAATAACGAGTAGGTACGTAGGTAAAAATTTTGCATATTTGCTTTATTTTAAATTAAATTTTTGGAAGAGATTTTTGGTAGAGATTGTAGAATTGTTCGAGAAGGGAATTTATTTACAGAAATTTTCTCAGAATACTTGACGTTAATTTTCTCCTTCTTTTTTTATTTTTGTAAAGATATTGATTTATATAGAGATATGTATTTATAAAAAATCAGAGTTGTGACAATCAATTTGGAATGAGGATTTGATATTATGGTTTAACGACTTGCGGGCCAATATAATTTATTAGAACAAAAGAAAATTTGTGTTTTACGGCTCGATAAAAAACAATTTCATTTGCTTTGTCTAAAGTCAGGAATTTTTGAACTTAAGCGATAAATATTTATCCTTTAATATTGTAAATTTAAGTTCATGATCAGTTAACGTGATCAACAGATTCTTACATGGTTGAACGTTCTTATAAATCTTAATTGTTTCAAAATTGCGTCTTATTCTTTAAATTAGGTCAAATCTCAAAAACTCTACACAGCTTCGTCGTTTTAATTTACCACAAAATTTAAGGTAATTTAAAGTAAACTTATGTGGCAATTCAATCACATAAGTTATTTTTTCGACACATTTGAGTAATTTTTTGCAATAATAACTAATTGGTCATTTCATATTGGTAAACTCAAATTCCAAATTCTCATTGTCCAAATCTTTAATATTCAACTTTATTCGATAACAATTTAGTTTTATCAAATCGAAAAAAAAATCGCCGGCAAAAATAGGATTGTATTGTGAGAGAAGGTTTTAGGTCAATTTGTTAAATAAACTTTTGCCAAATAGTATTTATACAATTATATAAGTGAAATTGATTTTTTATTCTCTTATTTTGAAATCAAAAAAAAAAAAAAAAAATTACCCTTATGAGGGAAAAGAGGATAGTGAAGAATCCTTGTTGTTTGTACAAGTCCTTAGTTTTATTTTAACAGCAATTGAAATTTTATTGATTCAGTTTTGTTATTTTCATTTTTTATTTCTCCAGCCCCCAGGTGTACTCTTTTTTCTTTCTTATTTATCTTATTATTTTTTTTATCTGAAAATTGAGATTTAGAGTACATATATGAAAAAAGTTATCAGTATATTTGATATTTTTGGAAAATTCAGCGAAAAAACAAGAAAGAAAATTTAATATTTTTCTTTTAACTTAAAACACAAATATTTATTCTGAGATTCAAAAATGATGTTTGTTTAAAAAAAGATTCGGTATAATGATAACAATAATAACGGTAATAATAATGTAAAGTTCCCCGCGTGCATTTTAATGGTAAGAAAATTGGTATGCTCAAACTGGCAACCCATAAACTTTCATGTTTTTTAAAATCCTCATTTTTTTGTTCTTGTTCAGCTTTATTTTATGTAAATAAAAAAATATTAGATTTACATTTATGACTTTGGACGGATACTTATGTATATTGTATAAAGAAAACACATATTTAATAATGATTACGGCGATCTTATCGGGGATTCGTGTATTATAAAGGTTTTTCAATTTGCAAAAAATATTCGTGAAACATTCCAAATAAAATCGTGATCAAAATTATGTATGAGATGTTACAAAAATCAACAAGTTAACATTAAAATTACAATCTTAAGTATGTAGTGTAGAAAAGCCCCAAGAAAAAGTAGAGTAAAAATCTTGCTTTGATTTTTAGTTTGGATATCAACAGAATTTTAGTCATCATAGATATTAAATACAGGACAAATGTGACAAATTTAAAATTCTTAAGTGAGAATTCAGTTTTAGGCACGTTTAAGCTTCTAAAAATGTGTTTTTTAGAAGTTTTTAAAATTTTTACAACGAAAATATCGAAATTACTTCGTGGCTTTTCAAAACAAATCGCATTTAAGATTCTCATTTCAGGCACTAAAATTAAATGATTTGTATGATTTTTGAATAGTTTTCAAATTCAACTGAATATTTTGTAGGAAAATTTGTTTGAAATATGGTGAGGTGAATTTATTAAAAAAAGTCCCACTTTATCATGAATCATTTCAAAATCTTCCAGCTCAGTATGAAATAAACCCATACTTAAACTAAAATCATATAAAATTATTAATATATTAAAATGACTGGCACTTCATTTCCAAAATTATTAGGATAAAATTTATTTTTATTTTCTATCACAGTTTTTCAAAACAACCATATATTTTCTTATTTTATGAATTTATAATATTTTATTAATATTAAAGTAGAATTTTATTAAATATAATTTATTTAAGTGCTTCATACGTATGAATGTACATAAGTATATACGTTTTTTTCAATAAAACAAATACAACCTATTTATAAAATATTAAAAATGTGAGACCACATTTCTTTCTGAAAATGCAAAATCTATATACCCTCATCTACTTACATATTAAAATTACCAAAAACCGAAAAAAAAGAGAATATCAGAAAAGAAATACCAAAAAATCAAATTCTATGTACAGTTGCAAAAGTAGAAAAGTGAGGGCGAGGGAGAAGCATCAACCTTTTCCAAAGAGATTTTTTTTTCCTGTAATTTTTTTCTGGAAAACCAAAAAGTAAAAAAAAATGATAATTTTCCTAAATTTCTCTTATAACATATAAAAAAACCTATTTTTAATGTTTTTGAAAAAGTCAAGGAAAAAAAAAATATTTTATTTCTCTTTATTTCTCTTTTTCCAATTCATTTTTCATTTACCGTATGTCAAGGAACCGCCATATTCTTGATAGCTGTATTCAATTATGGAACATCACTCTTCTATTAGAAAAACACAAAGAAAAAACGAAAGAACAAATATAACAACAAAAAATCAAGTTGAGGAACACGAGAAGAGCATCTTCTAACGTTAACGAAAATCTATCATAAATGATGCAAGCTAAATAAACAAATTTTTTCATCTTTTCTCTTGCTCCTTTTGCTTTTACATATTTTTACCTGTTTTAACATAAATATTTTATAGCTCCATTATTTATATTTGTGTTAATATATTCTTTAAATAACTTACATATATTATACATTTTAAAACATTTACAAGTTAGCATGGAGGCATATACAAATAAGGGAGAAAGTGTGTAAATAAATGTAGGTTCAAAAATCAAATTACATAAATACATACATACATACATATTATATATATGTATTCTTAAAAGTTCATAGAATCATAGATTCAGTTAGAATGATCATAGTCAATTCAGATACAAAACAGAATGGTGTATTCAAGCTAATAAATCAAGTTGAAAAAATATTGCATATTTTCAGGAGAACCATTCGATTTTCTTTCGTTGAGCATTTTTGCATTATTTTCAATATTATGACTATGCTTTGTAAAGTTTTAAATTTTAGTTGGAAGATTTCAAAGATTTAAAGCAAAAATACAGCAACTGTTGCTTGCTTTGAGTCTGAAAGGAAGTGTAAAAAATCTTTTTAATCGTGCAATCATTAAAATATTTTCAAGGCAAGTAATAAAATTATTTATTTCAAATTTCATAATTTGTGATACGATTCTAAAAATGTGTACCCAACAACTCACGTAGTAGAGTGTTATTGGTATTATTAAGCTCAAACAAGTCACACATTAAAAATTATACGAAAAATTGTGAGTTTGGCAACGAAATTATTTCCCACAAATCTTTTTCATAGTATTTTTGTACTGTTTACTTTTTATTCTACTAATTTTGTGCTAGTGAAA